GTGTGTGTGTGTGTGTGTGTGTGTGTGTGTGTGTGTGTGTGTGTGTGTGTGTGTGTGTGTGTGTGTGTGTATGTGTATGTGCCTTTGCCTGTGCCTGTACCTGTGCCTGTGCCTGTGCCTGTGTCTGTATCTGTGTCTGTGTCTGTGCCTGTGTCTGCCTCTGTCTCTGTGTCTGTGTATACATGAGTGTGTCTATGAATGTATTGCATGCGTGTGCGTGCATGTTTGTGTACATGACATGAGAGATACCAATGCAATGTATATGAAACTAACACACCAGAAACAAGACAACCAAACAGAAACAAACACCAACCATTCAATCGACCCCAAACAACCACAAACAACCGACCCCAAACACCGCAAACAACCGACCCCAAACACCACAAACAACCAAACAGGCGCCGCCGCAGCCCCCTCGCCCCAAACACCAACTGAACTGAAGTTGGTTAATCGCACTTGACTCTCCTCCCTTACCGACCCGACGAGCGCGCGCTTTCGAGGGATCATACATAACCTCTCGCCAAAATTAAAAACATGAGAAATCACATTACAATTATTTCTGATGACGCTCATCAGGCAAATGGGTAAATTATCCAGTACGGGATTTTTTATTTATTTATTTATTCTAAATCTTATTCTAGCCTCCTCCCGCTCTTTGCAGTTATCCTCCCTACGCCTCCTTTTCCATTTATGTTCCACTCATTTCTCACCTCTCTTCTCATTCTCTTATTCCTCTTTCCACACCGTCCCTCATATGGTGTGTATCTTTAAATTGCTTTAATTTTTATTTTTAATTCTCTTTTTACCCTGTTTTCATTTTCTATTTGGATCTACTGTTTCTCTTTCTTTTTTTTTCTTTTCTTTTTACTTTCTCTTCCTTTTATATTGCCTTTTTTTCTTTATTCTCCTTTTCTGCCTTGTTTTTACCTGTATGTGTGTGTGTGTGTGTGTGTGTGTGTGTGTGTGTGTGTGTGTGTGTGTGTGTGTGTGTGTGTGTGTGTGTGTGTGTGTGTGTGTGTGTGTGTGTGTGTGTGTGTGTGTGTGTGTGTGTGTCTGAGCATGCGTGGTTGTGATCATAAAAACAAAAAACAAAAAAAAATGAAACGCATCCACAGGAAAAAGGGATCAACATTCTATCAATTTTCCCTCCCTAACTATAACTACAGCTCCTCATCCCCACAAACAAAAATACCATTCCAAAAAAAGTCACTTAAAAATAAATAAAAATAAAAAAATAAAAAAAAATCCGCCCCCGCGAAGCAAACCGGGGCCTCCTTCCTTCCTTCTTCCCCAAAAGGGTCATTTCTGAACTTGACGCAAAGGTCACGTCAAGACAGATCAGGAGAAATGCGACGGCGTAAAGCATCACGTCCTCATCTCAAGATTCACGTCACATTTCTTGATTGCATAAAGTGGAATTGCAGACGAGACGACATGTTGTTCAGTTTGATTGTAGTGAAAAATGGATTGTGGAGTTTCGTTATATATTTAATGGTATTTTTTGGCTAATGTTTCTTTTATTTTATTTATTTTTTAAGGGGATTTAGTTTCTTGTTTGTTTGTTTTTTTTTGTTTCATAAGTGTTTCCATAATCTAGTTTTTAATGGTTATTTGTCTCCTTTCTTTCTTTTTCTTGGCCATTCATTTTTGTTCTGTTATTTCCCTTTTTGCTCTCTCTATAATTCTTTTGTCCCATTATTTCCCTATACCATAGATTCTCTCTTGTTGTTTTGTCTCTCATGTTTCTGCTTTCCTTATATTTTCCTTTTCCTATCCCCTTCCGTCTTCTCCTTCTTTCTCACCTTCCTCTTTTTCATTATATCTAATCTCCATTTCTACTTTTTTTCTTGTCTTTCGCTTTTTTATCTCTTATCCCTGTTTTGTTTTGGTTGTTTTTTTTTCTCTCTCTCAACATTTTCCCGTTTTATCTATTTGTTTTGCCTCTGCTTTTGTTTCATTCCTTTTACCTCTTTCTTATTTTTTCTTTTCTTTCTCTTACTTTTTCTGTTTCTCATCTCTTTCTTTTCTTATGTTTTTTGTCTCCAACCTCATTATTCTATTTTATTTATTCCACCTTTTCTGTCTCTTTTTTTTCTTTTCCTTTTGTCTCCAATTTTCTTTTCTTTTCTATTACCTTTTCTGTCCTTCCTTCTCCGCTTTTTCTCTCACCTTTACTTTTTTATTATCGTTACCATAATTCCTCTTTCTTTCCGTCCTCTCTTTCTTCATATTTATCTTGACTGACATTTCTCCATCCTCTCTCTCTCTTCCTTTTCTTAAAATGTTTCTTTTACCTGGTCTCCCTCTTCCTTGTCTTTATCATCGTCTAGTTCTGCTTCCCTTTTTGTTAAATCCATATTTTTTCACTCTTGATTTCTTTTCAAAGTAGTTTTTTTTCATATTTTCTCTTTACTCTTGTCTTTGTTTCCTCTCTTCTCCTCTCCTCCACTCCTTATGTTCTTCCTCGTACACTTCTTTTATCTCCCTCTATGGTTTTATCTTTAAAGTGTTTTCAATTTACTTCATTTTTTCTTACTTTCTTCTCCTACCTTCCGCCTTCATCTCCTTTCTTTTCATTCCCTTTCATCTTCCCAGTTTTTCTCTCTTCCTTTCATTTTTGCTTTCTCTCCCTCTCTCTGTTTTTCCCTTCCCCTTTTGTTTCCTTTCCCTCTTTTTCTTCTCCTCCTCTCCCTTCACTTTCCCCTTCCCCTTCTTCCTTTCTTTCTCTCCATCCTCTTCCCCTCTTCCTCTATTTTTTTTTCTTCTTCCTTCCCTTTGCTGTCACTTTTCCCTCTTACCTCCTTTCCCTTCCCTTTCCTTTCGCTTCCTCTCCCTCTTCCTCTTTTCTCTCTCTTTCGCTTCCCTTTCCACTCTTTGCTCCTTTTCTCCCTTATTTTTCCTCTCTTTCTACTCCCTTCCCCTTCTTACTCCTTCCTCCCTCTCTCTCCACCTTTCTCCCTCTCTTCTTTCTCTTCCTTTTCTCTCTCTACATGCTTCTTCCCCTTCCTCGTCCTCTCCCTCTTCCACCACTCCTCCTCTCCCTTCCTATTCCACTTCCTCCTTATCTTCTTCCTTTCTGTTCTCCCTCCTCTCCTTCTCTTGTTCCTGGTTCCTTTTTTTCTTGCATTTTTTTTTCTCCTTTCTTTTAGTATATGGAACCTCTCTGCTTAATAGCCTTGTGTACATCTGATTATATCGCTTCGCTGTGATCTCATAATTATGCAAATTACCTTAACCTCTAGGCAGGGGGGGAGGAGGAGAGGGGGAGAGAGAGAGAGAGAGAGAGAGAGAGAGGGAGGGGGGAGTGTGTATGTGTATGTATGTGCGTACGCGTGTGCGTGTGCTTGTGCGTATGCGTGTGTGTGTGTGCGTGCGTGCGTGCGTACGTACGTGCGTGTGTGCGTACGTACGTGCGTGTGTACGTGCGTGCGTGAGTGTGTGTGCGTATATCTGTCCGTATCTGTGTGTGCTGCCTATATATGTGTGCATACATATTTGACTCTATGTTTGTCCCCGTGCCTATACATTAAATATGCCTGCAAATGCCAAAGGTACGTTCCCGAGAGCGCACCAGCCCCTGTCTGTGTCAAGCATAGAAGCAGACAAAACTTTCCTTCACGAAAAGCACCCCCCCCCCCCCCCCGAACCCAAGGTAAACACAAGACGCCAAGTCCATGTGACTCGCGGTGGCCTTTGCGCATTCTTAAGCACGATGACTAAGGGATTTTTAAACCCACGTGGTTCTTTCGAAGAGTTCTAAGGAGACCGTGGCATCTGTCAGGGCGCTGAGAGAGAATGACTTTTCATTAAATCACGGGGGTTTTAGGAATAATGGGTGATCTTCCATATTTTTGGATTTTTATGTTCATTTTTGCTGTTGTTTTGATTGCATGTATGCATTCTTCACTCTGGTTAAATGTCTTTAGCGGAGCAAAAGGAATATCAACATTTTGGTCTTGGAATTTAGGGAAAGAATTAGAGAGAATGCGACAAATGGAATTAATCCTCTCATGAAATAATAATAAAAAAATAAATGAATAAATAGAAATATATATGTGTGTGTGTGTGTGTGTGTGTGTGTGTGTGTGTGTGTGTGTGTGTGTGTGTGTGTGTGCGTGCGTGCGTGTGTGTGTGCGTATATCTGTCCGTATCTGTGTGTGCTGCCTATATATATGTGTGCATACATATCTGAGTTTGTTTGTCCCCGTGCCTATACATTAAATATGCCTGCAAATGCCAAAGGTACGTTCCCGAGAGCGCACCAGCCCCTGTCTGTGTCAAGCATAGAAGCAGACAAAACTTTCCTTCACGAAAAGCAACCCCCCCCCTCCCGAACCCAAGGTAAACACAAGACGCCAAGTCCATGTGACTCGCGGTGGCCTTTGCGCATTCTTAAGCACGATGACTAAGGGATTTTTAAACCCACGTGGTTCTTTCGAAGAGTTCTAAGGAGACCGTGGCATCTGTCAGGGCGCTGAGAGAGAATGACTTTTCATTAAATCACGGGGGTTTTAGGAATAATGGGTGATCTTCCATATTTTTGGATTTTTATGTTCATTTTTGCTGTTGTTTTGATTGCATGTATGCATTCTTCACTCTGGTTGTGTGTGTGTGTGTGTGTGTGTGTGTGTGTGTTTTGCTTGTATTAGGTTGTGTCTAGTCTCTCCCCATCAAAAGCATTTCGACTATCGATATCCCTGTAACATTTTCTTCATAAAGTTATGATTAAGAAAAAAAGCAATAACATCGAAATATGGTCCCCACTTAGTAGCCTCATTAATCGTGTTACATTTAATCCTTTAAAAAATCAGAGAGGTCGTTTTTAATCATCTTACGTTTTGTTTTGATTTTTTATGGGATTTTTTTATCCCCCAAGATGCACAAAAATAATCACACACATCATCCAGCATCGATAGCTCGGTACCCATATAATACAGACCTCTCGGCCATCACAAAAATCATTAATAATTCATAGATGTCAAAAAACAATCTATACTTAC